GAGTGAAATAAAGGCCCGGGCCTATATTAGAAAATTTACGGTAGACAGATTTATTTTGGAAATTTCATTTAAAAAAGCTCTAGACAATTTCATTTTTTTAAGTGCAGCCTTGAACACAGTAATACATTTAAAAAAATAGTAATATAAACATATGACTGTATATTTACAGTTCTAACATTAATTTATTACATTTATCTATTTTCTATAAATAAAATAACCCATTTTACACAACATAATAAGGTCTAGTCCTGGATTCCAATAACACTATTGGCTTGAAATTTAGATTCTTTTACAGGTATTATACTGAGTGCCCTATAAAGATGAATTGATTGATTCCAATGTTTGTTGATTTGAAGAAGGTGGGGGGGGTCTGGTTGAACTTTGGTGACCCCTGGAAGGTTTCATCCACATTTCCACCGGATTTAGGGAAATCTTCGCCTATTCTGCCTTCCCAAATGGAAAAGCAAGTAACTGAGGAACTGTAAGCCCAAATTACATGTGTGATACGTTAATCGAAAGCTAACACCTTCTAGTTTCTGAATATATACATGGAAATTGGGCGAGCAAAACACAGCCCAAACTGCATCAGTTCAAACATGACTCAAAGTAGTTTTTTCTCAAAAATAATGGTTCTTTTTTGAACAGCAGTAATAAAGGCATGCTTGCTGTGGCTGCTTTGTCATGTTTACATTTTGACATGCTGCTATATCTGTGTTAATTGTGCATTAGTGCTCGCTGTGTCCATAAAATGAACTTGGTGGTTGAATCGTGGAGAATCTAAGCTTTCCAACGACGTCTTGCATGTCTACATTTTACCAGTGTAATTTTCATGCATTCTGAGTTATTAGTTTTAAACGCTTTAAACCGGGTTAATGGCGACCCGGTGGATTTGAAGAGGCTAAAATGACAGCAGCACAAATGTAGCACAAACCTTTGACAGCAAAGTGTTTGTGTTTTCAGTCACTGACCAGAGAAAGGATTGGATTCATTTCCAACCTGCTGATCACTGATCAATAATAAGCAGCGGATTTCTCAGCACATCTCCGGCTCCAGTAAATCCATCTACGCTCCTCATAGCTCCGATAAAGAATGCCTCAGAGAATAAGAGGAGGGGGCGCAGCCCGTGTTTTTATAAAGATAGGTTTATGAGCTGCTTTTCTTTCTGCTTTGACAAACTGAGGGCTCTGCTTTTTTCAGCAGACAGGAGGAATAATGCCGCCTCCTGTCAACAATGCTTTATGAGAGCTGCTTCCAAAGGCATTGTAATAAAAAATAAACATGATGTTTCTGAAAGATGATCTCCTACAGATCCCTAAATTAATAACTCCTTCACAGCAAAGGAAGGGCTAAAGATGGTTTTAATATAGCAGCATATTTCCAACACAAATCTGCCTGAGCTACAGAGTCTCCATGCAGCCTGTTTGTGTTTCTGTGTAGGAGTTGGAGGAGAATCTGCGAGAGACCCAATCGACTGCTCAACGGCTAGAAACCCACCTGAAGCAGAAGGAAAAGCTCTACGAAGACAAAATAAAGGTTTGGTTACTAAACACACCAGTTACATCCCATAGGTGTGTTAAAGTGAGCTTTATGTTAAAGGGCCAGTGAGAGGTTTATAAACACTGTCAGCTTTTAATGACGCGTTTGATGAGATTTTATGGAGATCCACCAACATTAAGCTTCCATGGCTTAAATAAAAAAATAAAGCAGGGTTTTTAAGTCTGAGTTTCTTGTAGATTTTCTCCAATTGTTACAGGATCAAAATTCTACACAAAAGTTCACTAATATAAAAAAGTCCTTTAATAAGTTGCACAGAAATGTGAAGTTTTTCAGGTCACCAGTGTGAACCTGGAATAGTTGTGACTGGATGTTTCACCAGTGATTCACTGATTGTTATTCTGACACATACCTGGTATTTCAGTTGGTTTCCATCATCGTATTTATTTCCAAAAAAAAAATAGTCCATATCTGTTTGTTTTTTTCTTGTTTTGAAATGGAGTGGTTGTCTCCATCATCATCATCATCATCATCATCATCATCATCATCATCATCATCATCATCATCATCATCAACATCATTATATTATCATCATCATCATCATCATCATCATCATGATCATCATCATCATCTTCATTATCATGATCATCATCATCTTCATTATCATCATCATCATCATCATCATTATATCATCATCATCATTATATCATCATCATTATCATCATCATCATCATCATCATCATCGTTATAATCATCATCATCATCATTATAATCATCATCATCATCATTATCATCATCATCACCATTATATCATCATCATCATCATCATCATCATCATCATCATCATCACCATTATATCATCATCATCATCATCATCATC